CCTATTTTATTGAGTGTTTTAATCATAAATGGATGTTTTATCTTATCAAATGTTTTTTCTGCATCTATTGATAAGATCATATGATTTTATCCTTTGTTTTGTTAATGTGGTATATTACATTGTTCGATTTGCATATGTTGAACCATCCTTGTGCCTCTGGAATGAACCCCTCCTGATCGTGATGTATTATATTTTTAGTGAATTGTTGTATTCAAATTGTTAGTATTGTGTTTAAGATTTTTGCATGTATATTCATCAGAGATATTGGTCTGTAGTTTTCTTTTTTTGTGTTATTCTTACCAGGTTTTGGTATCAGGGTTATGATAGCCTCATAAAATGTTGGGAAGTTTTGCCTCTCCAAATTTTTTGGAAGAGTTTGAGAAGGATAGGTGTCAAATCTTCTTTGAATATTTGGTAGAATTCACTAGTGGAACCATATGGTCCTGGACTTTTATTTTTTGAAAATAAAAGGGAGGTATTTGATGGTTGTTTAAATTTTCTCACTGTTCATCAGTCTATTTCGATTTTCCATTTCTTCATGAGTCAGTCTAGGAAGTTTATAGATTTCTAGAAACTTACCTATGTCTTCTAGGTTTTTGAATTTGGTGGCATATAATCTGTCATGGTATTCTAGTATGATTCTTTGTATATCAGTGATGTCTGTGTTAACTTCTCCTTTTTCACTTTCAATTTTGTTTATATGAGTCTTTTCTCTTTTTTCCTAGTGAGTCTAGCCAGGGGTTTATCAATTTTATTAATCTTCTCTTTTTAAAATGTATTTTTATTGATTTCAGAGAAAGGGAGAGAGACACAGAAATATCAATGATGAGAAAGAATCATCAATGGGCTGACTCCTGCATGCCCCCTACTGGGGATCAAGCCTGCAACCCAGGCATGTGCCCTGACTGAAATAAAATTATGACCTCCTGGTTCATAGGTTGATGCTCAACCACTGAGACACATCAGCCAGGCTAATTTTTTCAAAGAACCAGTTTTTTATTGTATTAACTTTTTTTTGGCATAGTCTTTTTGTTCTCTATTTCATTCCGTTCTACTCTAATTTTTGTTACTTCCTTTCTTCTGCTGACTTTGGGTTCCTTTTGTTCTTCTTTTTCTAGTACTTTAACATGTAATGTTAGGTTGTTTACAGGATATTTTTCATTTTCTTTCCAAGCTGCCTCGCTACCTTGGTTATTCATGGTATTTGATGGATTCCTTCTCTGTCTAGGCATCAATGTGTGAGTGGCATTTCTCTAGCAGATTAATACAAAGAGGTCTTTATATTCTTTTCTGGTAGATGACATTGAGCCACAAGAGTTTTTAGCTTGTGAAATCCTAGTGCCAACCCCAAGTTTCTGGCTGCCATCAGCTTCTTTGTTGTTTTTCCCTCCCAGTAATGGTGACATTGTGTCCTCCGTGGGGTCCCCCCTATGCCCCAATCCTGAGATGGGTCACAGAGTGCACCCTTTGCTCAGGGAGAAATGTGATTCTATAATACTGGTTCTCAGATTTACAGATAATGTGCTCCATAACCCAAAACCAAGGACAAAGGGAGGCAAACTCTGGGAGGTTAAGATGAGGTAGTCAGACTTTGTGGCTTTGTTTCTGTGTCTGAATTGCTGATGCCCTGACAACTGTGGCCACACTCCTGTGCCTTGCCCAGGTCTCTCTGTCCAGCTGCAGATCATACTGCTCACTTCTGCAGGAGTGCTCACTGAGTCTCTTTGCTCCTCCTGGCTGAAGGGAGTGTGAGCCACGACTAGATTCCTCTCCTCTCTAGACAGAGCCCCACTGTGAGCTCCCAGCTGCCAACTACATTCCTGGCTTGTAACAGCTCCTCTCCCTTTTCGCCTCCCCCTTTTGCTCCACTTGCCCACCTCTAGGTATTTCAATGTGTGAATCTTCCAGGTGTATTTGTACATTGAGCAGGGATTCCTTTGTTGAGTTATAGCTGTTCAAATGGTTGAAACTTCAAGGGGAGAGGCCAAGGGGATCTCTCACACTGCCATTCTTCTGATATCACCCCAGTATCTTTTGATCTACAAAAGATTTTAATTTTGATGAAGTGCAGTTTGTCCATGTTTTCTTTTGTTGTTCATAACCGTTAAATCATTGTTAAACCCAATGTCATGAATTTTCCCCCCTTTGTTTTCTTCTAAGAGTTGTATAGTTTAGTGTTAGGCCTTTGATTCATTTTGAGTTAATTTTTGTATATGATGTTAGGTAAGGGTCCAACTTCATTCTTTTGCATGTAGATAACTAGTTTCTTAGCACTATTTGTTGAAAAGACTGTTCTGTACCCATTGAATGGTCTTGGCACCATTAATTTTATAATTTTTGCTAATATTTATATTGTTTTTATAGAGGAGCAGATTTTTAAAAGTCCTTACTCTGCCATTCCAGAAATGTCCCTTCTTCACAAACATTTTTAAACTTAAAATAAAGAACTAGAATAGATGAGTTATAGGGCATGCCAATTTTAAATTTTACTAGATACTACAAACTTTCCATAGTTCCATCAACTATATATAAAAATACCATTCCCTTAACAATATTTATACTTGATATTTTCAGACTTTGACTTTGCCAATGTATGGTTTAAAATGGTATGTCATTGTTTTAATGTGCATTTCACTTACTATTAATGATATCTAACATGTTTTTATTTAAATGTTATATTTTCTCATTTTTCTTTCTGTAAATTTTTTATTTACATCTTTACCAGTTTCCTATTGCAAATATATTTTAAATAAATTATAAATATGGAAGTGCCTATATTTTAGGTCTTTGTCAAATTTGTTTGTTTTTTAAAAGATAATTTTTTAAAAAGCTACATCATAACCCTTATCTACACTAATAAAAGAGAAACATGGTAATTGGCGTACGACTGCTACCCTTCCCATTGGCTAATCAGGGAGATATGCAAATTAACTGACAGCCAAGATGGTAGCCAGCAGCCAGGCAGCTTGAAACTAACATGAGGCTTGCTTCCTTCAGTGA